GGCAGAGGGGTTGCGAGGAAAGCCAAGCGGACCTCGGCGACCCCGCAAACAAGCCGGCGCAGAGGATGCATGGACAAAGGAGGATGATCGGGTCGGCGGCCGGTCGTGCCCTAGCCTGACACCCTTGGCGTGGCAGGGCTGGTTGGCCCGCATTCTGGGAGGCGGGCTGCAGGCGGACGGACGGATGGATGGATGGAGGGAGGCAGCGGCCTGGCGGGGCGGGCGAAAAAGCGCCGTGACGCTGCCCTGCCTGGCCAGCCAGGCCGAGGAGGGGGGCTTCCGGACTCGGCTGCTCGCTCGCTCGCCTCTCATGCTCCCTTCTGTCAGCCAGCCAGACGGGTGGGCGGGCGACCAGCCGTCCAGCAGCTGCATGCAGGGGAGCGCAGCGCAGCGATGGACGGACGGACGAGGACGAGGAATCACGCTGAACTTCTTTGGCCCCCCGGCCGGCCAGCAGGGCTGACCCTGATCCTCGCTCTGGCCCTCGCTCGGTGGGCCCCCGTCTCCTGACCAGGTCCCCAAGCAGGCAGGCAGGCAGGCGAGGCAAGGCTGGGCTACGCTGGGCTGGGATGGGCTGGGCCGGGGGCTGCGCCAGCTTGCTCGCTCGTTGGCTCGCTCCCTCGCTCGCTTTCGGTCGCTTGGCCCCGCGCCGCCGCTTGACGTCGTGCGTGAGCCGCGCCGCTGATGGCAGTCGATCCACCGCCCGATGGCAATATAAGGCCCTGCCCCGCATTCCTGCTCGCCCGTCCTCCTCTCTCCCCACAACCACCCTGTCTAGCAACCCGTCCACTCTCGCTCTCTGTCCTTCTTCACCCGCACACTCACTCTCTCTCCTCGCACCACCCGACACTCGCATTCACAATGGCCGACCACAAGTCCAAGGCTCTCTTCGAGCAGATCACCGACGGCCTCAAGGGCATGGACGACAAGGAGAAGGCCGACATCAAGAAGAAGGTGAGCACCCCACTGTCCGAAGAGCTCTTCAGTCGGCGGACCGCAGACACCGCCGCTCCGACTGCGTTCCGGACTACGGCCAAGTTGGATGGATTGCTCAAGTCTGTGCCCCTCTCTCTCTCTGCTCTCGTCCTTCCTGCTTGCTCCCCCTTCCTCTCTCTCTCTGTGCAGACCAACGGCGTCTTTGAGATGCACATCAAGAACTCCAAGGGCGAGGAGCTCGTCTGGACCATCGACCTCAAGAAGGTGAGCATGCGCTGCGGACCAGCGGCGAATCGGCGGTCGGCGGCAGCAGCAGCCGCCTTCCATCTCGTTCGAGACCGTCGATCAGTCAGTCGGGTTGCACAGAGCGACTCTGATTGCATCCGCGCTCGGAGAGACTGGGCTGTCGCCTGCCGTGGCTCTCCGCTGCTCTCTCTCGACACTCAGTGGGGAGCGCAGTTGACCGGACAATGGACGCTGATCACATCGTTTGGACCATCTCCTACCCGCTTCGTCGGCGCTGTTTCTGCCATTCCACAGGGCGGTGAGGCTTACGAGGGCAAGGCCAAGGGCAAGGCCGACGTCACCATCAACTGCTCCGACGACAGTGAGTGTGGCCGCATCCTAACCGCTCTACGGTTGACGCAGTCAATCTGACATCCCTGCTCCCTCTCCTTCCCTCCGCACCCGCTCGTGACCTGCCAGCCTTCATGGACATGGCCGACGGCAAGCTCAACGGACAGAAGGCCTTCATGTCGGGCAAGCTCAAGGTCAAGGGCAACGTCATGTGAGCATCCGCCATCCTCGCTGGCCTTCTCTGTGTCTCTGGTGCTCGCTGTTGAGCGGTCCGACTGATCATCCTCTCCTTCTCTCTTCTCCCCTTCCCCCTTCGTCCGGCGCACACAGGCTTGCCACGAAGCTTGACGGTGTCCTCAAGAGCCAGCGCGCCAAGCTCTAAACGTCGTACGTGGACCCTCCACCACCCGGCGCTGGCGGCGGCCGAGATACATGCGGGATACAGATGGTCGGTTCCTTGCTCGTCTACTCTTTTCCCACCCTCCCTGCATCTCCTCCGTGTCTCCCCCACCACGCCGCTCCACGCGGATAGTAGCTTGACGGTAATATGAGACGATCCGATAAGACAACGAAGCGAGAGGGCGCGCTGTGCCATGGACGTGGCGCAATCTGCCTGTCGCGCACACAAGAGACGGCACGCGCGCAGGGCAAGGAAGCGATGGCAGCGACGTGTCGGCTTCAGCGGGCCGTGAGTTGGCGGGACTAGTATACAGGTGAGGACGGGCGGAACGGACTGCTTGCTTGCTTGCTGGCTTGCTTGCCTGCTGCCCGCGTCTCGTCAGCCAGAGCGACTACCGATCCTCGCCAGCGACTGCCAAGGGCCCCCACGACGGAAGGAAACAAGAGTGCCAAATGACGGGTCAGACGGACGATGCGCGATGCTGGAAGCAGGGAACAGGGCGGGGGGGGTGCACACTCACGTCTTCGCTCTGTTCGGCCTCTTCGATTGAGTCGCTCTGGCTCACGGTGCGCAGCACCGACTTCTTGCTCGACTCCTGCATCTCGCCCGCTATAATCAGCTCGTCCAGAATCTGTGTGGTGGGCGGTCGATGAGGAAGGGGAGGGAGATGAACGGGGCATGGTAAGTTGGTGGGCCGAGTGACGAGATTGATGAGGGTTGCGGAGGATTGGGAGCCAGACACGGCTTGACTTACGGCGTAGGCTTTTTGGAAGTTGAAGATGCTTTGGGACGAGGAGGAAGGCGAGGGGATGGAGAGCGCGAGCGCGAGCGGGTATGGGATCGATTGGTCAGTGCGAACGAACATTGGACAAGGGGTAGGCGGATCGTGCGGCCGGGACACTTACAGATCCAGCTCGCAGACCTGTCGACGGCACGGCGGGTGCATGGGAGCGCGAAGAAGGCTTGCCGCAAGTCGGTCAGTCAATCACCCGCAGCCTGGTCACGCTAGGCCTCGGTGCTCCGGTCCGAATGGCATGCTGATGCGGCCCCTGATCGACTCACGTTGCCAAAGTAGCGGTCGAGGATCTCGACGTAGCGGTGGATGATTTCGAGCGTCACCAGCTCGTTGTCGCCCTGGCTGATGCCCGTGACAAAGAAGAGCGAGGCGTACCGCCTATACACGACCTTTGAGTCTGTCGGCGAGGGGGGAAAGGGTGACGAGCGCGAGAAGCGGATCAGCAACACCGTCGCGCTGAAGCGGTAGTGGCTGCTGCGGGCCAGCGCACCTTTGTATTCGAGGAAGTTGCACATCCGCGTCTGGACGAGGGTCGAAAGCAGAGGAAGCCGGGCCGAAGGTGTCAGTGCGTGCGTCGACCATGATGGGGAGGCCTGCGGGCCTCTCTGCTCACCCTCCTGGCCAGGACGAGCTGGGTGACGTCCTTGATGATCTTGGTCTTGGCCTTGGGGCTCATGGTGGTGAACCACTTGGCGAGGCGAACCTTGCCCTGCCTCGAGATGAGCAGGATCCAGTTGATCTGCGGGGCGTCAGCCGGTTCGAGAGCGAGGACAGGTGGAAGCGTCGAGATGCGAGAGCTGATCAGCGAGAGGCCGTGCCGGGCAGCAACGACCGCGGGGGGCGGACCTCGAAGGAGAACGGTGACGGAACTCACCGCCATCGTGTCCGGTAGTCTTGCCTGTCAGGGGGTCGATGCAGTGGTACTGAGCAGCCGATGAGTGCTGTTTGCGAGGCGGTGGCAGCAAAGAGCGCTGAAGTGGCGCTGGTGATGGTGCGCGGGGTCAAAGCGATGGGATAGGGTTGGCGATGTGGTGGAGAGATGCATGGCGGTTGCGGTGAGGCCAGGCGGGGCGGGACGAGGGGCTGCGCTCGGTCCAGTCGCTGATTTTCGAGTGAATTTCCGGCGCCAGCTGCTTTGCTTGCTTGCTTCGCTGGCCAGCAGGCGAGCGGGAGGGCCAGTCCAACACCTCGATGGCCCTTCCCGCCTTCTTCCACCACCCGACTATCCCTCTCCATTCGCGCTGTGACTTCCACTCGGCGAGCCCGAGCCCTTGCGTCCGAATCATACAGCGCATCGACCAGTCGGCCGGCCCGAGCTGGCAGAGCTAGAAACCGCAGCGGTTCGTTCCGAAGACACCAAGAGGCTCGCAACCCCGTTTCATGCTACCGACCCACTTCGAGACCCGTGCAACCCCCCAGCCTCACTATACGGAGCAAGATGCAAACCTCATGAGCGGAAGCACCTCGAACCAGTCCTTGGCCGCCGCCTCGCGCTCCGGCGCCGGCCGCGGCTGGTCCCAGGTCGATGACGGCACCTACCCGCCTCGGCCCAGCGCCGGCGGGTCAGCCGATGGCAGGAGGGCGGTCTCGTCGGCCTCCAAGGCTGCCGTCGGGAGCGAGCCGTCATCGTCGATGCAGAGGAGGCTGTTTGGATCAAAGGGCGTAGCGAGCCTCACCGTCGATACCGGTCCCCTCGACAAGCCAGGCGACGGCGTCAGGTCCTCGCACTCTTCCAGGCCCTCGCAGAGCAACAGCACCGGCGTCGCCAACAGGCCCAAGCGTGGGCGCTGGCACACGCTCGAGTTCCGCTTCTACGCCCTCGTCTTCCTCGTCATGGTCCCGCTCATGGTCTGGGTGCCAGTACAGCTCAGCCAGCCCTCGAACCCCAACTACAGCAAGTACGCCTGGCACCTCCGGCCAGGGTGGATCGCCGGTCGGCACAGGGACGACAGCGACTTCCAGTATCGCTCCTTCCGCGACTATATCCCGCCGCTCGTCGGCATCATGGCCATCTACCTCCTCATCTCGTACACCGCCAGCAGCATTCCTGCGTCCCGGTCGACCTCGACCGCGGGCTACCGACGCGTCGGCGCAGGCAGCCGCTCAGCCGAGCCCCGCAACCACCGCAAGGCGTTCCTGCTCGTCTTTACGGCCATCTTCATCACGGCGCTCCACGGCACCAACGCTGCCAAGCTCATGCTGGTACTGGCGACCAACTATGCCGTGGCCCACGCGCTCGGCGGCAAGCGCATCGCACCCATCGTCATCTGGACGCTCAACGTCGGCTCGCTGTTTGCCATCCACTGGAACGACGGCTTCAAGTACGGCAAGATGTGGCACGCCCTCGCCTTCCTCGACGACTACCAGGGCGTGCTGCCGCGCTGGCAGATCAACTTCAACATCACCATGCTGCGCCTCGTCTCGTTTTCGATGGACCTGCACTGGGCCAAGCAGCAGCCCGCGCAGCGGCCCCAGCACGCCAGGTACGTCGATGGCGCCGACGGCGACGGCGACGGCGACGACGCGCCCTCGCCCCGTCAGCGCGCGTCGACGTCGCGGCCGCCGGAGCAGTACAGCTTCGTGCACTACTTCATCTACGTCTGCTACCCGCCGCTCTTTATCGCCGGTCCGATCATGACGTTCAACGACTTCACCTCGCAGATCTACCGGCCCACGACGATCGCGGCGCGGTCGGTGGTGTCGTACGCGGTGCGCTTCCTCGTGTGCCTGCTGACCATGGAGCTGATCCTGCACTACATCTACGTCAACGCCATCAAGGACTCAAAGGCGTGGGACGGCGCGACGCCGCTCGAGCTGAGCATGATTGGCTTCTGGAACCTCATCATCGTGTGGCTCAAGCTGCTGGTCCCCTGGCGCTTTTTCCGGCTGTGGGCCATGTGCGACGGCGTCGATGCGCCCGAGAACATGATCCGCTGCATGGCCAACAACTACTCGACGCTGGGATTCTGGCGCAGCTGGCACCGCAGCTACAACCTCTGGACGGTGCGCTACATCTACGTGCCCGTCGGCGGCACGCGCAACCGCGTGGTGGCCACGCTGCTCGTCTTTACCTTTGTCGCGCTCTGGCACGACCTCAGCCTCAAGCTGCTGACGTGGGGCTGGCTCATTACGTTTTTCATCCTGCCGGAGCTGGTGGGCAAGGCCGTCTTTACGGAAGCCAAGGTGAGTCCGAGTCCGAGCGCGCGGGGCGGTGGGAGGGGAAAGCGTCTGCTGACGATCTCGACGTCCCCGTTTCGATTTGACCTGGCTGCAGTACGGCTCTCGCTGGTGGTACCGGCACCTGTGCGCGCTTGGGGGTGTGTTCAACGTGCTGCTGATGATGACGGCCAACCTGGTAGGGTTCGCCATTGGCGTCGACGGTATCCAGTACATGTACCGCCAGATCCTGGGTAGCTGGCAGGGGGTGCAGTTTCTGGTGGCGGCGTGCGCGACGCTGTTTGTCGGGGTGCAGGTCATGTTTGAGTATCGCGACGAGGAGCGGCGGCGCGGCATCGATCGCAAGTGCTAGCCGGTCAGGCAGGCGCCTGACGCGGCCCTCGTCGTGGACAGCGAGGTGGCTACATACGTTTCTGTAGAGGTCGCCTCGAGACGATCACGACGACATCATCACATACCCTCGAACTTCTGTCTCCCACAGCTCCTCGTGATCGTGTCGTTCTGTGGTCAGCGGGACGAGGACCCGAGAAAGGAGAAGAGTTACGTGTCGAGATGGGCCCCCACCCGGCTTGCACACGTCGAGTCTGAGCGGGAACCAGCCAGCAACATCCGACGACGACAGCGGCGGAGGCCAGAGCTCTGTATGCCTGCCTAGGCTGCCAGGCCTGCTCGTTTTATTTCCAGGCCGATCTAGCAGGCGCGAGCAGAGGCAGGCAGGGCAGCGCGGGGTGATGATGCAGTCGAACCATCTTCTGCAGGACCAGGCGGCAGCAGCAGCGGCGGTTGCCGAACACCCTCGCGCCATCAGACGAGCCTGCTGCTGCTGCTGCTGCGACGTGAAAACCCGCGTACCGATTGCGGGGTTCAAAGCCCTCTTGCTTTTCCCGCCCAGGCTCTTGCTCTGCGCTCACCTCTGCCTGCTGCCCCTTGGCTCACACTTTGCGATGGGTTTAGAGGGCGAAAGCGTGCTCATCCCTCTCTTCGAAGCAGGCAGGCGGTCGTGTCAACGATGGCGACAGCGGCGTCGACGATGGAAGAGGGCGAGAACAGGTGTGCGCAGCGAGATGTTTGGCCTTGGCTGCCTGCTCGCGCCCGCTCCTGATTGAGCCAAAAGGAAAGGCGCGGTCGGCCCTCGATCCGCCTCGGTTAGCCCTCGCTCGTTTCATTTGGCCAAAGGCGGGGCTTGGCCTTGGTCTGGCCTGACCTGGCCAGGCGTCCGAGGTCGAGGTCGAGGTCGAGGTCGGCTCGCCCCCCGGAGACGGCCTGGTCGGGATGGAGAGGTCAAAGGTCATCAGCGCTGCCCCGCCCTCCTCTGCCCTGACCTGGCCTGGCCCAGCAGCCGGCCTACGCCTCGCTCCACGACCTCATCCACCTCGACCTCATTGCCTGCCATCCGCTCGTCGCCGTCTTCGCCGTCGTCGTCGTCGTTCCCTCCGCTCCCTTCCGCTCCCCTCCTTCCCTACCTTCTCCCCTCGCCCGCGCCCCATTCTCCACCAGGCCGACACCGACGCCATCCGATCTGGCACCCCCGACGTCGCCTTCTTCCTCGACCTCGCCCCCCGCCCCGCGCCCCGCCCTTCACCATGGCCCCTCCCTACTCGCGGGCGCCTGTCGCGCCCCAGATCCTCGAGTTGCCCCTGCTGCTCGCCGTCATGGGCTTCTCGGCCTCGCTCATGGGTCTCTCGGGTCACGACATTGTCCTCTTTGCCCGCCTGCGCGACAAGGCCACCATCAACAACCTCGTCACCATCGAGGACAACGGCATCCGCACCGTCGACGTCGCCCTCCTCGCCATCTCGTCGGTCGCCTTTGCCTTTTCCCTCGTCGCCCTCGTCCTCGCCTGCTGCCAGTTCCCAAAGCGTCGCGGCGAGCGCACCGGAAAGGGCACCTACGCCTACGTCCTCACCGGCCTCGTCCTCCTCATCCTCAGCGGCGCCTATGCCGGCATCGCAGCCGCCTACACCGCCTACAGCGTCATGAAGACCATGACGTTCGGGCAGGGACCCGCCTACCGCGAGCCCTTCACCGTGGCCGACAAGACGCTGCTCCGCTCCATCTACAACCAGTTTGCCGCCTCCCAGTCGGCCGTCACGCCCTACGGCACCACGCAGCAGCTTTCCGCCCTGGGCGAGTGGGCCAACATCGACACGCTGGCCCAGGCCAACGCCTACCTGCGCCGCAACAACTACCTCCACTACCGCACCTACCGCGCCACGGTGGCCGTGTCGTGGGTGACGCTGGCCACCGTCTTCTTTGTCATGGTCGTCCACTTTGCGCTGCCCTACGTCCTCAAGGCCCTCGGCATGACGCGCCCGCCCAAGGAAGAGGAGGACGAGGTCAAGCGCAGGAAGCAGATGGACGTCGCCCGCGTCATGGGCGAGAGGCGCAGCCACCGCGGCTACCAGGAGTACTGAGCACGCGGGCTCAAACCTCCTCCTCCCTTCCAAAGGTTTCACCTCCGTCGTCGCGGGCCGCCCGACTGAGGTCGACGGGCCCGGACGTAGGCCGCCTGGCCATGCCGAGCCAAACCTTCCACTGTGCCTCTCCCGTTTTGATACCACCGCGATGTCGACTGCGGCCTTGTCCCTGCTTTCTTTCCTCACTGCTTCCCGCCTCGACCTCGGCTTTGCTCGATCTGCTGCTCTGATGCGCCGCTCCCTCCTCTCACGCTCGTTTTCCTGGCCACCGTTCGTTCCCTCGTGTAACCCTTACTGGCTTGATGGTCCTCTCCTTTGTATACCTCGCCCTTCCACCTTGCGCAGGCACGGACTGCAAACGAAGACGGTCTCCGTCGTGGACATCAGACGCCGTGTTGAGGTCGCGCGCCCAGCAGAGTGGCGGACTCGGATCTACGATCTGGCCCGGAGGCTTGCCAGGTGCCAGAGAGAAAGGTCGCTCGCTCGCTGCGTGGCCGACTACCGAATGACGGAGCGGGCGTGGCATCGCTTCATGCGCCGCTGCGGGATCTTGATCGGATCCGTCCGCGCAAGAATGCCACGGGAGCATGAAGGCCGACTCGAAAGGCGGCGGCGGCGGCAAGGTGTGTAGTGAGAAAAGGAGGCGGCGATGCCGAGGCGGCCAGAGAGGGCCGATGGAGGATCCGCGTGGGTCAGGCAGGGCCGAGGGACGGCGCAGAGCGGCAGGTGGCTGGACGAAGGCATGGCCCGAGCTTTCTCCCCCTTCTTGATGCGGACGTCGGTCGCCCGGACCATGCCTTGCTCGCCGCCCGCGACTGGACTTTTAAAGCTGCTGGGCCCCTCCGTGGCCTCGACTCGTCGTTTCCCTCCCCAACTACACCCACTCCCGCTTCATGTCCCTCGGCCTTGTTGCCTCCTGTCGACCTCATCTTCGCACCCCTCTCCTCGTCGGCTACGCTCTCCGTGATCGTCACACATCCCCACGTCGCCCCGTCCTCTCTTCGACTCGCCGCTGCAAGGGCTCCTCCTCTGCAGCTCTCTCCACCTCGTCTCTGACCACAGCCGACGCCGCCGACGCCGCCGCCGCCGCCATGTCTTCCTCCACGACCAAGCTGGGAGCGCCGGCCTCGAGCGCCATCGACTACAGCGCCTCGGCTCGGTCCCTCTCGGAGCCCAAGTCGACGCTGCGCACCCTCTACCCCGACGTGGAGCCGTACGAATCGGGCCACTGCCAGGTCGACTCGCGCCACTCGCTCTACTACGAGTGGAGCGGCAACCCAAACGGCCAGCCCGCCGTCTTCCTCCACGGCGGGCCCGGCGGCGGCATCTCAAAGGACGACCGGCGCTGGTTTGACCCGGCCCACTACCGCATCCTCACCTTTGACCAGCGCGGCGCCGGCCGCTCCACGCCCCACGCCGACCTGGTCGACAACACCACCTGGCACCTCGTCGCCGACATTGAGCGGCTGCGCACCAAGTTTGGCGTCGACAAGTGGCTCGTCTTTGGCGGCAGCTGGGGATCGACGCTCGCCCTCGCCTACGCCCAGAAGCACCCGCAGCCCGTCTCGGCCCTCGTCCTCCGCGGCATCTTTACGCTGCGCCGCTCCGAACTCCTCTTCTTCTACCAGGAGGGCGCCTCGCACGTCTTTCCCGAGCAGTGGGAGCCCTACCGCGACGGCGTCCCCGAGGGCGAGCGCGACGACTTTATCGCGGCCTACCACAAGCGCCTCACGTCCGAGTCGGCCGACGTGCGCCTCGACGCGGCGCGCCGGTGGTCGACGTGGGAAAACGCCACGTGCAAGCTCTACGTCGACGCCGAGTCGCTCCGGCGCGGCGAAGAGGACAAGTGGGCCCTGGCGTTTGCGCGCATCGAGAACCACTTTTTCCAACACCACGGCTGGATGGACGACGGCCAGCTCCTCGAGAGGGAAAACGTCGACCGCATCCGACACATCCCCGCCGTCATTGTTCAGGGCAGGTACGACATGGTCTGCCCCGCCACCACCGCCTGGTCCCTCCACCGCGCCTGGCCCGAGGCCGAGTTCCACATGATCCCCGACGCCGGGCACTCGGCAAAGGAACCTGGCATCACCGATAGTGGGTAGCGAGCGGCCTCGATGGTCGCTCTGTCCGGGCTCCGAGTGATTTCAGCAGCTGAGACGGCGTCGCTCACCACATCGTCCCATCCCCTTCCCCCTTTCTCCTTTCCACTCGCCCGCCTGCCTTCTAACAGAGCTCATCCAGGCCACGGACAAGTTCCGTCAGGTGGCGTGAAGAGGCGTCGTCGTCATCGTCGTCGTCGTCGTCGTCGTGGTGCTCTGAGCGGGCCAGATGAGACAGAGGATACCGACAGATGGACACGCCCCCGTCCTCGTCATGTCGACGACGAGCAAACCATGTGTATCACATCACCGCCGCCGCCGCCGCCGCCGTCAGGCCAGACCAGACCAGACCAGACCAGACCAGACCAGACCAGGGACAGCACAAGGACGCGGGGGGTCATATCGGGGTGTGGACAAGGCGGGATTAGATGGTATTCACCAGACGACGTGGAAGAGGTCGAGAAAACGCAAAGTAACGACGACGTCGAGGAAGAGGGGAGGGTGATAGTGTCCGTGAACTGGAGCGCGGGAAAGGAAGAGGGATAGAGAGACAACAAATGTCTCGCCGACGACAAGGAAATTGAGTAGGGCGGATAAGGGGAGAAGAGACAGGCGCCACGATGGTGGCGAGACTGAGAAAACGGAAAGCGCAAAGGGGGGAGATGGGGGCCCAAGGCTAGAAGGAAGAGGGGCTAGATAGTGTTCAGATGGTACAGGCTCGGGAGAAGAGGGCAAGGGCCCCGGACGAAGGACGAAGAGCGAAAGAACAAGAGTCCATACACGGACAGACGGGTTGAGAAACAGTTCCGTGGGGTGGCGGATCGTTAGAAGGGTGCACCGATCGAGGTTGGGCCGGCTGACCCGACAGGGGGGATCGGAGGATCGAGACTTGGCGGGCGCATGCGCGTGTGCGACGGCCCTTCAAGCGCGAGGTCGGCCGGTGTCGATCGAGGCTGAGCAGCCAAGGCGGGTTGGTGGGTCGGAGAGTTAGGCGCCGGTCCGCAAGAGCGACGCCGCGGGAGGGCGGTCGACAGGGATGGCTGAGTCCATCCGCAAGGGGAGAGGGCAACGGGTATCGGCGGATCAGGGGAAGGGAGAGGGAACGACGATGCAAAGCGAGGCGGTCGCGGTCGCGGCAGCGAGGCGAGACCGAGGTCCTGCGCGTATTGTCCAGGCCGCAGTGCGGAACCCTGGTTCCGACTGCGGCGGCGACGCATCCTTGTCACGGCGGACGATCAACGTCTGCCGTCACTGGTGCTCACCGAGGCCGGCGGGGTAGCCGTCGATGCCGATCGAAGGCGCTGCCGTCGGCATCCGCCCATCTGCATGGCCGGGTGCTGCGCCGCTGTCGAACGAAAAGTAGCCTTCGCGCTGCATGGCCAGGTTGGCATCCTGCATCTCGATCCCGTAGCCGGCGTACGCCGACGAAGACGCCGTCGTCGTCGCCGCCGAGCCGTCCTCGTTGATCTGGCTCATCGGACCAGGCCCCTCCCTCGCCGGACCGCCCGACGCCGTGGAAGAGTGCACGCGCGCGTGTTGGTTGAGATTGTCGTGGCGGCTGAAGCGCTTCTGGCAGTTGGGATAGGAACAGACAAAGGGCTTGTCGTCGGTGTGGATGCTGCGGACGTGGCGCTTGAGGTGCTCGCTGCGCTTGAAGCACTTGCCGCAACCGGGCACTTTGCACGTGTACACCTTGCCGCTCTTGCCGAGGTTGTTCATCTCCTCGGGCTTGCTGGGCACGCGGCGGCCGCGCGATCGCTTGGTGATCAGGCCGGCGTAGGGGTTCCATAGGTGCTGGACCAGCTGCTGCGCCTTGGTCATCGGCGAGTCGGGACCCTCGCTCGCGGCCTGCGACGACGGGCCGGCCACGCCAAGTCCGAGCGGGTGCGGGTGCGGCTGCGGCTGGTGCTGCTGCAGCAGCGCGCTCGGGTACATCGGCCGCACCGGGGTCGGGTAGGGCGAGCTGCTCCTCGCGCTGAACGCGGGCGACGAGGGCACCGGCGACGCCATCAGGCCGGCGCCGAACATCTCGGGGTTCTGCGCCACATGCGACGGCGCGCTCTGCGAGAACGACATGGCCTGCGTCGGGTACCCGTGGGTGGCGACGCCAATGTCGTGCAGGTGAAGCGGCCGGGGCACTGGCCACTGGTGCGGGTCCGCCGCGGCGACGGGCGAGTGGAAGGGGGATCCCATCGCCGCCTGACCGAGGTGCGGCGGGAGCGCGGCGCGGTGCTGAGCAGCGTAGGCGGCGGCGGCCGTCGGGGCAGCGTGCTGACCGCCCATGTCGCTGGGCAACTGGCACGCCTGGGAGCAGGTGTGGGGCTCGGTGACGCCGCACACGGTGGTGGGGGACTGGTCGGCAGCGAGCAGGTGCAGCGCGGGCGAGTGCGGACTGTTGACGGCGTGGTTGGGGATCTGGCCGTAAAACGGCAAGGGCATGCTCTGCTTCACCGGCGTCGAGGGTCCCGCAGCCGACAGCGCCGACGTTGACGCAAAGGAGAAGACGGAGTCGGACGACTCGGCAGCGACGAGCGAGGGTCGGCCGACCGAGGATCCCGACGACGCCAGGCTCAGGGCCTGCGCGCCGTCCACGGCCTCTTGGATCTTTGTCTCGTCGTCCTGCGACGTAGACTTGGCGTCCTCGTCGATGAACTCGGCAAAGCTAAAGTCGGTCGAGTGGCCGAGGTTGTCGAACGCGTCGTAGCCGTGGGCGCTCGAGGCCGAGGGGGAGCGGACGTTGCGCTGGTAGTAGGAAGCCTGCATTGTGGTGTTCGACCGCCAGTGCACGAGGTCAGGCGTCCGGTCCGTGGTGGCGGCGAAGGCCACCGACAGGTCGGCCAGGCTGGGCGCAGCGTTGAAGCCCCAACGGGCAGCGCCGACTGCACCTTCGCCGGTGGGCGACGACGACGACTGCGCATCGCTCTCGGACTCAAAGCCGGTGGGGTCGTAGCCGTCGAGGTCCGAAGTGCCCGTCGAGGGGGCGGAGCTGGCGATCGACGAGGTGAGCGACAGTCGCTGCAAGGCACGCTTGCGGACGGGGATGTCGATCTCGATGCCGTCTTCGTCGACCTCGAGCGGGGTGCTGATCTCGAAATCGGGCTTGAGGGTCGTGACGGTGTCGGCGCGCTTTCGCTGGAGCTCCATGAGGAAGGACGAGGGTGTCTCGAGGCCGTTGCTGAGGGTGAAGGGCAGCCCGCCGTTGGCGTCGATCGAGGGCGAGAAGCCCATCGGTGCGCAGCCGGAGCCGCCGAGGTCGAAGCTCGACCCGTCGTGGGGACTGCTGAAGTACTGCTCGTCCATCTTGGTACGTACACGCGGTGACGATGGTGGTGGGGGGTGAAGACGGAGGAGGTAACAGGGGAGGCCAGATGTGATGATGGTGGTGGTGGTGGCGGAGGAGATCGCGGTGGTGGTATTAGAAGTCGAAGTCGCTTGTATAGGCGGGTCGGTGCGCGGGAGCGGGGGGTGCGGGAGAGACTAGAGGAACTCGGTGGTCGGGAAGGTAGATCGTGATCGTTGCAGAGGGTTCGGGAGAAGAAGGCCTCTGGCTCGTGTCTGCGGGGCCTACGGCGGTGGTCGTAGGACGGGCAGAGGGTTCGTTAAAAGGTCGTGAGAGTCTTGGCTGGGAGGGCAAACCTCGAGGCAGGCATCCACGGCGAGCGTCTGCGCACGTTTGACGGCCTGCTCGGCGGGTCTGGGTGGGTGGTGCCAATGGGTGGTGCAGGTTCGGCAAGTGAGATGGTGCGGCTCGCGTCAATGCTTGCGTGTGCAGGCGGTGGGAAACGTCGGGCGGGTGCTAGTCTAGCTCGCTGTAGGTCAGAGGCCAGCTGAAGGGTGGGTCGCTGTGCTAGGCTGGGTGTGACAGAGTGTTGGGAGGCAGGCGAGCGCTCGGCTTGGGGCGGCCGTGTGCAAGTGTGCGTGGTCGTGATGGTGTTCGTGAGTCGACAGTTGTGGGCTGGTCGGGCGGGTGTGATTGAGAGCGAGGGCGGTCGGGCAGGCGGGCGGTGATTGTTGCGTTTGTGGGTGCGGGTGCAGGTTGAAAGAGGCGGGGGGCGGGGCTCTCGATCAGAAGGGTTTCGTGAGGTCGTTACAACAGCTGCTGGGCGAAGACGGGCAACGAGGCGGATGGGGGTTCGGGCGGTAGAACAGTGCAGGGTAGTGTATCAGCGACGGGCCATGGTCGGAACGACGAGACAGAGACGCGAACGTGGATGCAGGAACAATGCGTGCGACTACCCTGGTGGAGTAGTGGAAGCCAGCAGCAGCATGTGTGTATGATGGCAGTGGCGCCGGGTCCTCTGAGCTGCGTCTGCCACCAGGGTCCAGCGGTGCGGCGATCCAAGCATGGGTTGCACGGCGCACGTCCGGGACTGTGCGCCGAGAATGGCAGCTGAGATGGATGCTCACCTGGTTGGTCGTTAGATGTGCGTCAATGCGGTGCGTTTGTATAGAGGAATACGAGCGGGGCCGGAGGAGATGGGAAAAGGGTGGGGATGCCTCCTTGGTAAACGCGGGTGGTCGACCAAGAAGGAGGGGGGGAGCGACGGGATGCAGAGATGGTGGTGGTGGTGGTGGCGGCGGGCGGGCGGGCGCGGTTTTGGGTGATGGCGAGGGCCGCCTCAAAGTCTGGGGCCGGGCTGGCGAGGCAGACCAGAGAGAGAGGCTAGGGAGAGAGCTGGGCCCAGCGGCGACGACGTGATTGGGCAGCCGGCCAGCCAGAGAGACGGCAGCGGCGGGCGGCAAGCAGAAAAACCGACCCTCGATTCGATCCCTGCGAATCGGCCCAAAAAAGTCAGCCCGCCAGCCAGCCCTGCCAGCCAGCCCTGCCAGCCAGCCCGTCAGCCAGCAGGCAGGCAGGCAAGCAGGCAAGCAAGCTCGAGCATGATCCGAGCCAAGCCCAGCAGCGCAGCGGCAGCGACCGTTCGCAGGCAGGCGGCCCGCCGTGAGCCGAGGCCAGGCTAGGTGCGCTCAGGGCCCAGGCTGGCTGTCCGTCTGGCGTCGGGCGTCAGCTGGCGCGCGCCCGTTTTTCCCTTTTCTCGATCCTCGCGCCCGCCCCGCTTTCCCGCGCTCTGCTTCCCACCCGAGCCCGAAATCAAGGCCAGGCAGGCGGCCAAGCCAGGCGACCCATGAATCGACGCAGCGAATGAATAAATAAATAAATAATTTCCATTGGCGAGCGGGCGGGCGGATGTGCGGCGGCACCGCAGGCTGGCAGCCAGCCGGCCAGCCAGCCAGCCAGGGTCCTCTGCAGATGCTTGCAAGCAAGGCAAGCAAGCAAAGCCAGCCAGCCAGCCACCAGGCCCGGTGATGCGGCCAGGCGTGGCTGCGCGACCCTGGCGGTCCGACAGGCGGGCGGGCGGTCGGTCGGGCGGCCAATTTCGCCTGCTTGCTTGCTTGCTTCTGCTTTCGCCTCTGCTTGCTTCTCCTTGGCTTGGCTTGGCTGAGCTGGGCTAGGCTCCTCCGGGCGTCCGGGCATCCTCTCGGCCCCAACCCAAACCACCTCGATCCACCTACGGCGAGGAACCGACCGCCATCGCGCCTCTTACGGCATCCGGCCGTAAACGCCGACCAGCCCATGTACGGCCTTTGGGCCGCCTGGGCTGCCTCGCATCGCATCGGGCGCTGCCAACGATCCGTCGTCGACACCGTGGGTGGTATGGACGTCCTAGCCTTTGTCCCCTTGGCCGTACGTCCGGTCGGGACGGCAGGCCATCTCTTTGACACCGGGCGCCATCCTCGACGATCGACGATGGACTGTTGTACGTCGAGCCACGGGCAGGTTGGCCAGCCGCGGCCGGACCTGGCCTCCCTCACGCCGTCCAGACGCCGGGCGGCGCTCACGTTTCACGACGACGGCGACGGCGACCAGAGCAAGCAGGCTGGCGGCTTGCTTTGCTCGCAGGCAAAGCGGTCAGCGCCGACGACGACTTCGTACGCGTATGGCATCCAGCCTACTACAGTACCTAGGCTGCTGCTGCTCGAAACCTGCCTAGCACGCTCGCCGCGCATTAGCCCGCTGTGGCCCGCTGCAGTCGCGCACCAAAGAAGCCAAGGCGCCTTCGGGACCGCTTCGCACCAGATTGCGCTCAGGCTGCGCTTCCCGCCCTCTATCTTCTGCCTGGCCCGGCTTGCCGAGGCCGGACGGGGGATGGTCGGGTCGAGGATGCTGGGCCTGCCAGCGCAGCATGCCAGCACGTACAGCATACGATGATCGGCGAGGCAGACAGACACACAAAAGCCGGGAAGGGAACCTCATCGTCCATCAACTGGCGCACCGTCGGGTCGACAGCCTCGAGCGCAACGACGACGTACATCCTGTATGTGTGCGCGTTGCGTGCGTGGTGCGTTGTGCCTGGCCGCAGGCATCCTAGCCTGGTGTCACAGCTCGCACGATCGACGATGCCTCAAATGCAACCCGACGTGCAAACTCGGTAGGCGCCGGACGCTGCGCTGCCTTGTGCCGGGACCTGAATGCACGTCGTACGTTGGTTGACTGCTGCGGAACGGCCACGAAATTCAGGCAACGGCGCAGCGACGGATACAGATCAACATCGGGCGATCAATAAGAGGAAGAGAAGAGAGGGTCTTTGACGCCGCCCGCAGGTGCCCAACAGCAGCCTCCTCTGTAGCAGCAGGCAGCGGGTTGGGGCGTCGGCGATGCGGCGTCGGCGGTGCGGCGTTGACGGCGGCGCCGGCGCCATGCTGTGATACAGTCTGGCGTGGACGAGGTCGGTGGGCAAACAGAAGGGGACCGCCCGCCTCGAATACAGGATGGCCTTTAAAACTTTGTACGGATCGATAGCTGGCAAGGAGTGTGGGTGGGGGGGGGGNGGGGGTCGTAGGACGTACGTCGACGAACGGCACGACGGAGGGAGTAGG